CTGCTGAGAAGGAGAGGGACACAGTGAAATTTGTGGTGATGACCCTTGAGGTAAGTGTGGCTTAGGAACTTGATATTTCTGTCAGGTGGGGTAACATGTGACTAGCACTACAGAGAGTAAATAAAGCAGTTCTATTTGAAAACCAAAAGCCCAGACCTGTTTGACCCTCACCTCATCCTAACAATAAGTACTTGTCAGCCTGTCCATCCGTCACCTCACAGTGACCTTGTAAAGGGTGGCAGAAGGACCTTTTTATCCCTATACTACTTAAAGAATAGTAATTCATGAAGTGTAATACGTTTTAAACTGAGCCGTGAACCTGGACAGTTTAGTCATGGATGAACTGAACACTTGGTTTGTGTTAGCACTTACAACCAGCCCCCCAAATGGGTACATTCTGTGGATGGATCGCCTTTCCATACGATTTCTCGGAAGCAGTCTGGCAAGTGTCTTTAAGGAACTGAAACTTCACTGACCAGCAAGGATAGACATAGCTGACCCCACACAGGCTCTTCCTGCCACTTCACACCACAAGAAGGGATGGACACAAAGGGCATTTATGCAGGGGCTCACAAAGCTGTGAATACGCACTTACTCAGAGCCAGGCTAAGTCAGAGTCTGTTATCTTTGCCCTGTATGTTTCAGTAGTAGGGACGATTGGAAAGCAAAAAAGGTTGCAGCACAGGGTGATCACTACCTGCCTGTGCCTGCTGTGCTCAGGACAAAACACGACATATGTCATCGTATTTGGTTCTTACAGCAACCCTGTGAGATGGACTCTGTTGTTCCCATTTTACAGATGAGGAAAGCAAGGCTTAGAGAGGTTCAACGACTTGCCCAGGTTCCCTCAGCTAGGAAGTAGCCAATCCAGCATCTGAACCCACGCTCTCAAATTCAGCACTGCCTCCCTGCAGACCCCCAGGACAGGAAGCCCACTGTCCTTTAACACAGCACTTCCCTCTTAGGCCCTGTCATGGCATCTGATCCACCAGCAAATCCCGCTGAGTCTGGATCTCCAGGCGGGGCTGGACTGCTGCTGCCTGGCCCTGCAGCTGCCTGGACTCTGGAGCGTGGTCTCCTCCACGGAGTTTGTGACTCAGGCCTGCTCCCTCATCCACTGCGTGCGATTCATCCTGGAGGCCAGTAAGTCCAAGTTTATGGATGGGTTTCTTATTCTTGGTCAGTTGAACTAATAATCACCAGCAAATCTAGTTCACAAACAGGTTTATGCCCCCTTTTTGCTAGGTACTAAGTTAAGGGTTGGAAGTGAAGAGATAGTTAAGGAAGGGCTCATTTCATAATCTTTAGTAATTTAGAGTCTATACCAAAATGTAACTTGAATTTGCTTTTCTAGTTATTTTGTTTAGAATTTGGAGTTTCTTCTTTCATAAAAAGTACTTCCAAATTTTATGTCTCTTTGATCTTTGGTCCTAGTTGACAGTTTCATGTTTTCAGTCCTTAATGATGATGAGATTGTTATGATTATATTCTGAAGATTACTTGTTTTCTGTTAGAGTCAAAATGCTTGTTTCTATACTGCATTGTAATACTAATATATTGTAAAATAAAAGTGTCTTATTCTTTTCAAGGAACTTCAGTGTCCCTAAAAAAGGGTCATTAGCCAATTTTTTTTTAATTGGACATTATAGTGTACATGTTAGAGGGTGTTTTGAAGTTTTGTGTTTTTAAATTAAACATTATAGAGTGGTGTTTGATGTTTCATTGTTTAAATTGTTTTCATCTGTGCATTGTAGTCAACTTGAACATGAAGATCCAAGGATTAATTTTTAAAAGCCAGAATTCTTGAGGGTTACAGTGATGCATTAATCAATTATGAACTGTCTGATAAAACCTTCAGGCTTAATGATGGCAAACAATAGACAACAGAAGGACTTAGAAAGTAGAAATCTAAATTTTTATATGTTTACTTATCTGAAAGTGAAAGTCTAAATCTTCGTTTATTTTCTTGTCTGAAAGTAGATGTTCAGATCTTTGTATATTTACAGTTAGCCAGGAGATTATTACATACATCTGCTGCTGTCTTTTAGGTCGTCAGAAAAGTCATGAAGCATTTTTACATGGAAAAACAGAAAAAAATATGTCATGACTTTTCCAACACTCGATAGTATTATTCTCCTTTTTTTTAAACATGTTTACAGTTTGTTAGAACCACGTGAAGAATCTATAATCACTGTAGATAAAGTAATTGCACAACCTTTAGTCCTTCAACCATTCTCCAATCTCCAGCTCCCTTTATGCCAGCACCATCATTGGCCTTGGCATCCCTTTGACTTCATTCTATTTTTGCATTAGTTCTGAATTCAGAAACAAAGATGACATTTTGACTAGTTTTTCCTGATTCCGTCTTAGGTACTGTTGCCTTTTCAGAGTTAAGTACATCAATGACCATTTGTTTTCGCTGGAGTGGTTGGTTGGTCATGAACTTCCTGGTCTGCGTAGTTACTGTGTGGTTAAGATGGAGGTCAACTCTCGGGCAGCCAGCGGGGACAAGAGGGTCTAATATTATCCAATATATTATGTTTATTTAAGATTGGTTCTAGGAAATTTAGACTTCATTTGACATAGTTTATCACTTAGAATTTTTTTAGGCTATGAAAATTTGAATAAAATGGGATGGTAAAAGTTTGGAAATTCTTGTTTGTTCTGCTATAATTTTAGTTGCAGTGCAGCCTGGAGACCAACTTCTCAGTCCAGAGAGAAGAATGAGTACTCCAAAGGTTGTCGGAGAAGATGAAGTAGATTCAAACATACACAGTAAGTCTTGTGATCCATTTTGTTCTTACCTGTCTTTCTTTGGGAGCTTGAAATTCATTCACAAAAGACATTTGTAATGTAAGAAATGTAGATTTTTTTTCTTTTTAAGAAATATAGATTCTTAAAAGCTTATTTTAATTATCCTCAAATTTAAGGGAGATTTTAGTCCATTGTTTTGGACATGCTCTTTTCTCTGCTCAGACACCACCTCCCACCACCCCCGTCACCTGGCTGGTTAGGTTTTTTTTTTTTTTTTTTGGTGGC